ATTATATACTGCACGGTTCCAACTATATGACATTCCAGAAAGAAAAGTTATAGAGACAAAAAAAAGTCAGTCGTGATCAGGTTAGCAGGCAGGGAGGGATGAACAGGTGAAGCACAAGGGATTTTTGGGTCAGTGAAACTATCCAAATGATTCCACAGTGGGGGGTGCATGTTGCCAGACATCCGTCAGCATCTGCAGGATGACAGCCAATAAGGCTGGTGGAGTGGCTCAAGGTACTAGTACCAAAGGAAAAAAAAAGAACCCTGAAAGCACAAAATAAAAACAAGGAAATAACAGATTGATAAATGATGCGGCTGCAGGCTGCTGTAGGAACCCCCGGGATGGGCAGGAGGCGGCACTGGGCTGACCAGTTTGGTCTGTTCACATCTGCCTGTGGAGCGGGCATCCTGCGTGTCCTCACAGGCCAGCACTCGAGACATGTGGCACTCAGGCCTGTCACACCTCACTGAAGCTGCTTCTAGAAAGGTTGGTCTCTCTGACACACTGGAGCATGTGGAGAGGGAGAGTTGGGTTTGAAGATGAAAAAGCCGAACATGGCAGAAGAACTGTCCGTGCCTCCTGGCTCTGGAATACCAGTGCTAGGAAACAGGTAGGCTCCAGATGAGGCAGATGTTCTTGTGGTTCCTTCTACTGTGTGCTGAGACTGCTGTGGTCCTGTTGGGCCATGGCCTTGGTTTTAGGAGGGCTTAGGACCTGTCACGGGACCCCAAGAGATCTGAGGTCTGCTTCATGTCCACTGAGTCAGCAAATGATGGCCATGTTTACAAACACACACATCTCTGGAGAAGTGTGTCTGTAGACTGACAGGGCAAATATTTATAATTATGCAACACAGATTTTGGGTATGTTGTGGTCATTGTATTATTTTCAACTTTCTCTGTGTTATAAGGTTTCATAATGAGAAGTTGAAAAATGAAAAGAGAAATGTGCCCATCTGGGTGGCTAAAGAAAAAAACAGAAAATTCTGAATGCTTATGAGATACGGACAAAGCGATCTCTCACGTGCTCTTGGTAGGAATGCAAAGCTAGAACTATTCTAGAAAGTAGTTATTTGTAAAGCTGAACATAAACGTACCCTACTTCACGGCAACTTCATTCCTGGGTACATATATGCACCAACAGATGCATGAACGCGCATGTAGAGATGTGTACAGGGATGGAGCCGTTCTCATGAACAGCCCGGCCAGCTGCAGTCAGATGTCCCCAAATCAGTCAGCAAGGGCTGCTTGTGTGGCCACATGCGTGCACGCGACCCTGTTGTGACCTGTCCTTTCTGTCTGTCCCTCATCTCCCTCTCTCTCTCTCGCTCTCTCTCTCTCTCTCAACTTTTTTCACGTGAACTAGGGTACGCAAATATTTTTACACAGAGCGCCAAGCTATACCAGAGAAAGCTGAGATGATATGAAAGATGATATGAAAGCTCCTCCAAAAACACAGGCAAAGTGTTATAAGGCCTGACAAAGGGCTTGTATCCAGAAGACAAAGAACTCTTACAACTAAGACAACAAATTTTAATGTACGAGATCTTTGAACAGATACTTCATAAAAAATGATACAGGTAAGTCAATATACACAGGAAATACTCACCGCCATTAGTCACCAGAGAAGTGCAGTCAAGATCACTGGACACCTGTCAGGAGCTAAAACTGAGAAGACCAGCAACACCATTTTGGCAGGACTGCAGAGAAACTAGAACTCTCCTATACCACTAGTGGGAACTAAGAATTAAAACAAAAAAAATTTCAAAGTCAGATGCCAGTGGCTCACACCTCTAATCCCAGCTACTCAGGAGGCAGAGATCAGGAGGATCCAGGTTCAAGCCAGCCCAGACAAAAAGTGAGACCCTGTCTCAAAAAACCCACAAAAAAGGGCTAGTGGAGTGGCTCAAGCAGTAGAGCACCCACCTAGCAAGTGTGAGGCCCTAAGTTCAAGCCCCAGTGCTGCCAAAAAAAAAAAAAAAATTAAGGTGAGAAATGTTTAATTACTCTGAGCTGCACACACTGCACACCTGTACCAAATTATGACACTATTCCCACAAGTTTGTAGAGTTAAAATTTAAAGCAGTGGAATGAAAACCTTGGGAGGTGCTTATCTTCTGGCTTCTGTTAGGTAGTTAGTTACCTAGAGAAATGGAGACATTTATAGTCACACAAGAGCACCAGAAACGCAACAACCCATGTGGACATCAGTTGAGTAGATAAGCAGACTGTGGTATATCCATTCATCGAGAAACTAGCTCAGAAAAAACGGGTGAAATGGTAACACCTAACTAGATGATATCTGCCACATGCAGGGACCTCAGAAACATCACCTGGAGTGAAAGAAGCCAGAGCACGAGATTGCATTCTGTACGTCCCTTTACTGTGACACCCTAGAAAGGACAAAACGAGTGTTCAGGGGTGTCGAGCAAGCACAGAAGGGCCAGAGAGCTGTTCCACTTCCTGTTTGTGGTGGTTCATACAGTGACCAGAGGCTAAAATTGACAAGCTTTATTATATTTAAATAATGCCTTAGTCAGCCAAAAGATGAAAAATCAGCCACACTCATACACAGAATAATTCCCCAGTTAGGAGAATGAGAAGACACCATTTACCACAGTAACAAAATAAGACAGTGGAAAATCTTTAGGAATGAGCTTAACAATACATATTCAAAGCTGGTGTGAAGAAAATGACAACACATGCTGGACAGACCAGACAGGAGGCATGCATGACACCCCTCGCTCCAGGTTAAAATGCCCAGCAGCAGGCCGCCCCTGCCCCAAGTGAATCCACACTCCAGGGCAATCCACAAAATACCTACGAGCTCTTCATGGAGCACGGTGAGTTTACACCAACGTTCCTGTTTCAAAGTAAAAACAGTAACTTCTGGGAAAATACTGTGGGGCTGCTGCCCTGGCAGACACCAAGCACACAACAAGGTGTAGAAAGGGGTACCAGGTCCAGGGGACCGGCCGATGGAGCAGGCCCAACACAGAGGGACAAGTGACTGCGCATCTGGGGAAGATGCAGAATTAGACAACCCTCACACCACACACACAGTCACTCGACAGACCAGAGCTCTACCACAAAGAGCAAGGCACATGGTGTGGTTGAGGATACGGGAAGCACAGGAAGGGTGGCCGTAAGCAAGGCAAGCAGAGACCGCGACACGAACAGGGATGGGGGCCCCTTCATAACCAAGGCCCAAGACTAACGAGGGGGAGGTCAGTTGAGCACACATGGGGACGAAGGGTGAGTACCCTAATCACTAAGTCATTTTTAATAAAGTGAGAGAAAGTAACCTCAAAGCCAAGAGAAATGAACCAAAGTTACAAACACTTTTAAATCTGTGGGAAGACATTCAGCTTTGCTCCTAAGGGGAAACAGAGGTTGAAGCCACTGACGTACACAGCCAAAGCAGAGGCCTGGCCCTGTGGGATGTAAAATGGAAATGGAGCCCTCTGTGGGGGAGTTTGGCCATACCTAACAATTCTACCATGCGTTCACCCTGAGGAGAGACCTCCCTCCACAATAAGAAAACAGATGCACAACTTTTTTTATTGTAGCATTATTTCAACTTACAACGTATGGAAATGAGCTAAATGCCCATGTGGAGGTGAGGTGCTGAGTGAACCATGGCCCCCACACATGGAGCTCTGTGGGAGCTCTCTGCACCGACACATCCATTTCCAGAGACACCATTAGTAAAGACGGTGATGCTACCTGAAAGAAAGGAAAGTGAAATGTGTTTCTGTGTATCTTTACAAGTCAACCAAGGAAACAAAGATGTTACCAGAAAAGGAAGAGCAGTGAGCCCTCTGTGAGTACGCCTTTGTGAGTGGTTTGATTTTCAGAAGCGTGGTCATGTTCTACAAATAAAACACAATCAAACTGAGCAGGGAAAGAGCTGACAAGGACTTCATCAGCAGTCTGACTGCATGACCCAGTGGTGGCTGGGGAGTGAAGATCTAAAAACAAACCTGACCTCTTTCTGATGGGTTTGTTTTGTGCAATCATTTCTGAAACTACTTAACATGTCTTTTATCATTGAGCAAAGGAGATAAGCTCAATATTCTCACTGTAGAAGAGAAACACAAATGTGGAGCAGAGGGAGGCAAGAATTCTGTGGAGCTGGGATGAATTAAGAGCACATGTGTGTAAGATGTGTATGCATATAGGCATGCCTGTACTTCCTGCCTACCCTGTCCACAGAAAGTGCCTAAAAGCAGACACCCCAAGAGCAACAAGCACACCCATTCCCTTCCCAAAGAAGCCAAGATCCCTCAGACAGGGCTGATTCCAGAGGCCCAGAGGGACACCACTGTGCTGGAAGTCAGGCAGTGCTAAGGAGGGCATGTCACAAGGGCAGAGCAGGCCTTCCATGGGGCAAGTCTCCTACAATGTGAAACCCAGAAAACTTGGACAGGACTCACAGACCACTGAAGTCAAGTAGAAGTGCACACGTGCGAGCCAGTAACAGACGCTAAGTATGTGAACATGAGCGATGCCGATGATCAAGAGACAGGAATGGGGGGAAGAGCTTGCTGCCATGGAGGCTGAGTGCCAGGGAAAAGAGCTGGAGTCTGAAAGCCCACCCTCCCGCCATCACGTGGAGCCCTCTTGGAAGTGTCTGAGATGCATGAGAAAAACGTGGAAGTACCAGCTGGAAATGGCCACCGGACGCACTCAGGGGCCAAAGGCCACATGTAATGGACTGGTCTTGAACGGCTCAGGCAAACGTGTCCCAGGAAAACGTGTGTGTGTTATGAAGTGTGATGCCTCCAGTGTGTATGCGTGTGCAAGCGTGACGTGTGTACATGTGCCCAGAGCAATACCCACCCGCAGTCATGTGCTGCCTGGCAGTGTCACACATTACAAATACGTGTCCAATAAGGGTGACAGGGCCAACTGCCCTTAGTGTGACAGCTGGGCAGAGGTGTATCCAAAAGTAACCACATTCACAAGACACTACACAAGAAAACAAGTTTTTTATTCTCATTCTGTTTCGGATATATTTATCTCCAAAGTTTAACCTGAAACAGAGATGGCCTGCCTGCGAACTCAGAAGGGCTACCCACATGTGCTAAGGCCCTGGCTCTACCCTGTGGTCTCCTGAGCCTGGGCAGGCAGCACATGACCACCGTCCTTCCTTGACTATAAATGACACCCAGTTGGGACCATAAATGATCCTGTTGCCCACCTGACCACACATAGGCAGGTCTGAGCAGGCCACCGTCTCCCTTGGTGGCTCCTGGGATGCCAGCAAGACCTGGGCTCTTGTTCTCTCAGCCACACGCCCAGGTGTGGCTGTGGCACGGCCCAGGCCCGCCAGTAGGTGAATGTCAGGGCATGGTGGCAGTCCTCAGCTTTGTCTTCCCATACTGAGTCCTTAGCTATGCCAGAGACCTGAGCTCACGATGCTCCTGGAGGCTGCTGGACTGCAGGCCAGCCCCCAGCCCCTCAGGACGGCCTGGGAAGCCTCTCCAGAAGCACCAACCTCGTCTGCAGGTTTACATCAAAGGGAGGCAGTTTAGTCAGGTTCAGATTCACGCCTGTTATGCCCTCGATGCTGGCCAGGACCCGGTGGGTGTCCCTGTAGAGGGCCAGGTGCCCGGGAGCTGCCTCCATGAGGATGTGTGTGTAGGCCAGCATGCCTGCCGCCCCAGGCTGCATGTCTTCCCTCTTGTCGTACCTGAGAAAGAAGAGCTAGCTGTCCCCACATCACCCATCCCTGCCTGCACCCCACACCCCCTTCCCAACTCCTGAATGCTGCTAAGGTGGCCCCAGAGGAACACTCCACCTGCAGCTATGTCATTCCAGAAACAGACCTCCAGGCGCTGTTGACTTGTAGAAACCGTGACACACCAGTCTGGGCAGCAGCTGTGTCGATATGCAGGAAGACATCTAGAAAGTCACGCAGTGGTCAGAACCCAGCCCCAGCTCCTCAGCCAGGTGTGGCTGGCCCCTGGCAGCACTCAGGCACTGACCTGTCTGGGGTGGTACCAGGTCATGCAGCCGCCACATTGCAACGCCCCCAGGATAGTTGAAATGCGACACATAGAGGGATGTGACTGTGTAAGCAGCATTTACCACGAGGTGTCCTATCACAAGCAGGGTCCCTGCCTTGTACAGCCAAGACTTTTTATAGTTATTCAGCCTGAAAAGAAGAATGACAGCGCTCCATGAAAATATGCAGTGAAAAAGCTAGTGTCCAAGTATCCAAGAGACTCCGAGGAAAGCAGTCTCTGAGGACAGACAGGCCTGTTTTCAACTTCACCCCATCATAACAGGCAGAACGCTAACCACCAAGTACTTACGCAAATAATCAGCTAGGGTGGCTGAAACGCCACCTTTAGACTCGCTAAAGTTCACCCAAGAGGCCACTTTAAAGTTTGTATTAGGGCTGGAGGAGCAGCTCAAGTGGTAGAGCGCCTGCCTAGCAAGCCCCAGTACCACCACCAAAAAAAAACAAAAAAAAGCTTGTATGATTTTCAAAAAGGCATTTTCAAAGATTCCCAAGTGACTGCCTAGGTCAGAGACCGCCCATGCCAAGCCCCTCACTTCCGCCTCCATTGTGGAAAAAGTGAATTGGACAAAGCAGATAAGGTGCACAAACACCAGCCGGGGAGCCAGGAGGCCAGGAGACCAAGAGGCCGAGATTGGGAGACTGGGAGGCCGGGAGGCCAGGCTTTGGTTGCCTGTCCTCCAGACCAACAGAGCCTGTGCTGACCTGCCTTTTCCAAGCACTGGTGGATCCCCAGGCCAGAACCAGCTGCTAAGAACATCCAAACCCTGCAGAGTGTCAGTAGGTCACCAAACTCCCTTCCTTTCCCAGGAATGTTTTTCTTCTTGTCCTCCGTTCTTTTCTGAGAATGGCTTTATGTGAATTCTGTCACTGAGCCCTGTCTCAAGGGTCAGCTTGCTGCCCACCTACACCCTGTCAATGCTTGACAGGCTCAGAGGCCATCCCTGCCCCCAGGTTTGTGTTGAGCCTGTAAGACTGCAGCTTCAACCGCAACCTGTGCTTTCCCTGCCATCGGTGGCTGACTGTAAGAAACTGTACCATTCACAAATATGAGAACGACTGCTTTGGTCTTTACAGAGACGTCTGCCAGCCAGTGTCTAAATCCCAGTCACCAGGCTCCGAGTCCTTTTCTGGACTGGCGAATAGCAATGCAGACTTCCAGCAGAAGTAGCCGGCCCACCCCAAATACAGGACTTGAGCAATCTTTGGCACAAGGCCACCCTGGGATGACTCCAGCCCCACAAGCACCTGCCTGAGAAGCCCAGTGTTGTCGGGAACCTGCCGTGAGATAAAGTACAGGCATAGGACCTGAGCACTTGCTTCAAAACACGCACATGCCTTTCCCTGCCCTTTGAGGCACAAATCCACCACCAGGGCCATCTCGGAAACACAGACACCAAAGTGCTCTGCCCTCACTCCCAGGCCTGAGGAACAGGGTGGGGCTGGCATGACCGAGGGCAGATCCAACCGCACCACCAAAGATGGTGCAGCAAAGATGCAAGAATTCTGTCCTCCTTCAGGTAAGGCCGATGTGCACACCAGGTGGCCTCCGGCATAACGGGTCCCTACAGGCCAGCCTGGAGGTGTCCAGCTTCTTGCTTTGGCAAAACTGAGTCCAGTTCATGTTAGACCCTCTGTCCAGCTGCAAAAGCCCACAATGAGCTAGGCAAGGTGGTACATACCTGTAATCCAAGCCACTCACAAGGCTTAGGCAGGAGCATCGTGAGTTCAAGGCCAGCCCAGGCTGCGTAGCAAGAACATATCTAAACAACTGCCCAAAACCTGTCACTGGTGCTCTAACTGCATCAAGCTTTATGTTTGCCCCCACCCTGCTCTTGCCCATGATTGGGCCTATAAACCAACCCCGAGACACAAAGCAGCCAAAGGCAGGGAAGTCAGGAGGCCCACTGTGGTCTGCACCTGAAATGTCTCCACGGCCTCATGTACTGACCACCTGGTCCCCAGTGCTGCTGTGGCAGGAGGTGGAAGAGACTTGAGGAAGTGGTTCACTGGGGCAAAACTTTGAAGGTTATACCTGCTCCCTGGCTCTTGCCTGTCTCTGCTGCCTGTCCTCCATGAAGTGAGCAGCCTCTGCCACATCTCCAGCTGCCATGACGTCCTGCCTCCCAATGGACACAGAAGCAATAGAGCCAAGGACTAGGGGCTGAAATTTCTGAAACCATGAGCCACAAATATGATACCTCCCTTTAAGTTGTTTCTGTCAGATATTTGGTCACTATGACAAGAGGCAGAGACAAGCAAGTGAGCAGTGGAGGGTGCAGTGGAAGCTGAGGGCAGATGTGAAGGCAGCACCCTGGCCAGCCTCTCCTCTCTAACAGGTGTTTGGGGAAGCCTGGGCTCATGGGGCCCACTGAGGGCCACATAATGGGGCTTATTCTCCTGACCAAAGCCAGCACCTCTGTGTCTTTCCATCAGATCCCTGCCCCCCCCCACCCGGCCTGGACAGCCCTCCCAGGATCTTGGCTCTGCCTCTTAGCCTCCTAGCCAGGCCCACTGGCCTCCTGTTCCCACCAAAGAAGCAAGTCCTCAATGTGACCTGTCTTGACCCCAGGATCTTCTCCACGTCCAAACAAGGAAAGGGGCAGGGTGGGACTCCTGGTTCTACAGAGCCCATTATGCTGGGAGCCCATTTGTACTCAGACCTCCATGCTCTAGCCTGGGCACCCCTCCTCACACCCTGTCTGGCCTCACCTCCACTGCCCGCTGCCCATCCCTACTCCTCCATCACCTCTGACTCCCACCCCTGCTGGTTCCCCTGGCCCCATGGCCTGCTGTCACCTGTCCCCTACACAACTTCCATGCTAGCCTCACTGAGTCCTCCACATGGAGCCACACACCCCTCCCCAGCCCTCCAGTCTGGACAACCCTCAACCTGCAGTCCCCGCTGCTGGCCATCAGGACAGACAGGGAGCCTGTCCCTATAGCTTTCTCCTTCACCAAGCAGCCAGCTCACACCCTCCCCAGCTTGGCACAGCCACTGTCAAGTGTCCCTTACCCCTAGTGACCAGCCCTAGGACAGTTATCAAACACTGTGCTGACAGGAACAAGACTTACAACCAAGGTGATGGCAGACAGAGACCAACAAGCCATGGTCAGCTGGTACTCATGGCCTACATGGTACACTGAGGACCACACTTCCTATGTGTCCATTAAAAACCTGCCCCATTTTAAGCCAGCAAACCTGTTTCCAATGAAACTTGAAGTGTCAGCTGGGACGCAGCACAGAGGTAAAGCACTTGACTAACATGCCTGGGGCCCTTGGTTCGACCCCAACACCCCCATAAAAAAAGAAAAAAGACCAGAGACTGGGCTGGAGGTACCTCAAAAGAAAAAAGAGACAAGTGTGACAGTACAGAGCCTCACAGGTGGGAGCAGCCCCTGGCAGCCGTGATATTGAGGGCTGGGAACGTGTAGATGATGAAGCGCAGCTCTTTGTGGGGAAGCAGAGAATACAAAGCGATGAAACCCAGGGACGGCAGGGTCAGCACATGGGTCCTTCTGTCCACTGCGCCCACGGGCACAAAGAGAAGGCTGCAGCCCAGGCCACGTGGCAAGGCAGAGTAGAAATACCACAGGAACGGGGAGGTCTTCAGGTTGGGGGTTAAGGAAGCTATGCCAGGTATCACTGATCGGGTCACTGTCCACATAACGGAACCACGCAGAAGGTAGGATGGAGGCTAAAGTGGCACCCAAGACAAGAGACTGCCTCAGGGGGTGTGGAGACTCACACCTCAGGTGACAGGCATGTCCTCCCCAGCAACAAGCTGGCTGAGGGTCCCCATGGAGGGCTGTGGGGAGTTCTTTTATCTGTCCCTCCTTTCACAGTAAAAGCAGATGACAGTGGGTGACGTGTGCCCCGGGGACTAATGATTACACCATCCTTTCTATTGTGGGCTCACCTGAAATGCTCCATTACGATGTTCTTTGTGTTTTTGTCAGTACAAGGGTTCAAACTCAGGGCCTCATGTTTGCTAAGCAGGTGGTCTAACACTGGAGCCACCCTGCCAACCACCCCATAGCAAATGCTCTTAAAGGGCAGACTATCATGAGGACTAAAGCTGAGCGTGGTATAACATCTGCAGAGTGGGCAGAAGGCAGAGCAGCCGGCCACGCCATTGGAGCCAGTGATTCCCAGGTGTGAAGAGCAGCCTCTCCCCGACCTCACAGTCATAAAGGATACGCCCCAGTTGGAACTCTTGTTTAGCACGGTGTTGTACCAAAGCACTTCTCCCTCTGGCCACACGAGGTATTGCCAGAAATGGGAGTCCACAGCAACTGTCAGTCCTAATAAAACAGAATAAACCGTTCTCAGGAATAAGCACGGCCACCAGGAACATCCTGCCCATGGGTAAACAGCTCCCCGATGCACCGCATGGCACAGAAACTGCCAGCCACTCCCCAGGAAAGCTGCTGTCTGCACAGGTCACCATCGCCCCAGCGGTCCGCAGAGCCGGACAGTGGCCCTTCCACTTCCAGGCCTCCCTTGCCTGGCCAAACAGTCCAAAGGACAGATGGGCAGACAGAGGCTCCCAGGGCAGCAGTGGGGAGCTGCCCATGGAAAACAGCACGGGGCTGGCTGGACTTTTTTTTTTTCCTGCGGTACTGGAATTTGAACTCAGGACCTACACCTTGTGCCACTCTGCCAGCCCTTTTTTTTGTGATGGGTTTTTCTGAGATAGGGTCTCACGAGCTATTTGCCCAGGCTGGCTTCAAACTGTAATCCTCCTGATCTCTGCCTCCTGAGGATTACAGGTGTAAGTCACTAGCGCCCATTTTAATTGGATTTTTAAAATCACAAATTTCTCTTCATCTTCGTAAAACAAGGCAAAACAAAATAACCCATGTGGAAGAGTCTGCAGCGAAGCGGACTTGCCTAGACAGAGGACCCCAGCTGGGATGGCGTGCTGGAGGAGCCTGGTCACCGACATCCTTCTGTAGCACATGGCCAGCAGCAGCATGAGGCCCAGCAGCAGGCAGAGCTCAGCCCTGAAGACGATGATGGCGAAAGCAGAGAGCCAGATGAAGTGGGCCCACCTGTGCTGCAGCCAGGCTGTGAGGGCCGGCAACACTGCAAGACATGAGTGCCACTGTCACCCTCCCCACCCACTCGGGGCACATGAGCTGAGGGGAAATGTGTTTCTCATCACAAGAGTCATGCAAAGTGACTCCAGGAGACGGGTACTCTCAGATTCACAGACACAGGTGCCTCTTAGGTGCCACTGCTAAAAAGCACCACCCCTGTGCAGGGAACTCCACTTTCCATTACAGGAGACACTGGGCAGTGTGTCTGAGAAGCCCAGAGGGAGGCAACTGGGGTGGGGAGGCGCTCCCTCACCCAGCAAGGCAAGGGGTCTGCAGACACAGCTGCGGCTACATACCTACAGCCAGGGCCAGTACGTTGGGGAGTGTTCGTGTGCAGTAGTACATTAGGTGGAACTGCATGGCCGTCACCCAGCAGAACATGGCAGCTGTTGTGGCCCCGAACTGTCGCCTGACTTCTTTTTGTAACATCCAGAGTCCAAAAATCACACCGAGCCCAAGGACTCCTCTGACTAAACAAAAGACAGTGATGTGCAGTGTGCACAGAAACAATGAATCAAAGCAGCTTGGTCAGTGTCACCTGCCATGCTAAGCTAGCAACCAGGTGACAGGAAACCACTTAAGAAGTTGCCTTTGGTACCAAAAGTGGGCAGCCTGGACCCTGGGACCTTTCCCTGCACTCAGAGCCCTATAGTCCAAATGTACAGCTTTACCTAGGACCACATGGCTTGGTCAGCACTCTAACAGCTGGGTAGAGCTGAGGGCAATGTTGGAAACAGGTGACCAGGGACCCCACAGCACAGACAGTGATGGTGAGCACCTCAGACCTTGCCCTGTGCAGCTGAGGGCAGGACAAGGTGGGACATGGGCCCCAAGGGTAGAGAGCTGAATAGAAGTGTCACCAAGGCCAGTTGTCTTGAAAAGACAGTGAGGTAGGGGTCCCCAGAAGGGGCCAGCAGACCACACACACTCAGAGTGGATGGGCCTCATTGGCTCCTAGCCAGAGACTGAAGCAGGAGAAAATCACTTTGGGGCTGCTCTCTTGAAGGCAGAGGGGCTGCAAAGCCTGAGTGGGGGCTGTGCACTGGCAGCTGTGGAGTGACCCCTGCTGGTGGGAACTGCAGACTTCCAGAGGCCAACCCAGGCGCTCAGGAGGAAACCCAGCCTGGACATTAGCCTTTTTCTACTGACGTGTACTCCTGAACTTGCAGTGCAATGTCTCACTTGGGCATTGCTAGCCCACGTCCACAGGGCTGACGTGTACTTCTGGTGCTTCTGTTTACATTCCCTGGCAAGGTTCTTGTTTCCACCAAGCCCTCATCTGATGAGCCCATCTGGGGCCCTCTTGATTTTCCATTTTCCCAAGAGTCCAACTGTAGTCTGAGGGTCAGGTGAGGACAATTTGTGACAACCTCAGTCCAGGGTGACTTATCATCGTCCACAGAGGAATTATTTGGGCCTCCAGCAGGGGACAGGAGTACTAGAAAATCTGGACTGTCTTAGAACAGTCAGGAAAAGCAGGACATCACGGTGCAGAGCAGCAGTCCGGGCTGTCTTGGCTCCCTGGCCTCTTGGTGGAGGCTCCTGGGGGAAAAGCGCACCCAATTGGGAAGTTTGAATAAAGTCTGCATTAGGTGCAATAAGATTCACTGAAATGGAAAAATGCTGCTTGTTGACAAAAACAAAAAAGCCAGGTTGTAGAACATGCACAGATGTTCTGTCTGGTTTAAAAGGAAGCATGGGCACCACCTACAAATAGGAGGGATGAGGCCGGTGGTCTCCAGCATGGTATGGAGTCTGTCAACAATTTATGATGTATTTCAAAATAGCTAGAAGGACAACGTATGGTGGTACATGTCTACGATTCCAGTGCTCAGGAGGCTGAGGCAGGAGGATTTTGAGTTCCAGGCCAGCCTGGGCTACACAGCGAGAACCCATCTCAAAAAAAGCAAAAGAGAAAACAAATCAAAGTAATTACAAGCCTCAAGGTTCCAACGTGAGCCATGTCTGAGGACATGGAAATGCTAGTTACCCTGATTTGGTCATTATGCACGTATGCATGTGTCACCATCATTCCGTACTCCACTAGCAAGTACAAACATACGTGTCAGTCAAAGTTTTAAAGTACTCATATGCGCACAAAAAGGCTGGGAGGACGTGCATGCAGGCCAGCGAGGTGGCCTCTGGGATCTCAAGGGTTGCTTGTCATGTTTTCTGTACAGGTGTGCTGTCACTGCAGAAATAAAGGGCTCTGTGACTTAGCAGGGCTGAGGTGGGAGCAGTGGGCTTCACAGATGCCTTCTCTCCTACTGGCCCTGAAAGAAGTTACTGTCACCCTGACTGAAGGAGTGTGGAGGCACAGAGCACACTGTCGCATGCCTCAGGTATGATGGTAAGGCTAAGGTAATGGAGGGCAGGCCCCCAGGTGAGGAAGCTCAGGCTGACTGTGAAGCTGTCGCAGTTCCCTGCCTCGTGGGAAGTTCTTACCCACTTACCTATCAGCTGAGAGTAAAATTTGGACACCTCCAACAGTGAGAGCACATAAACCACAGGGCTGGAGAATGCCGCAATCAACAGTGGCCCCAGAAACGTCCTGGGGACAACTCCAGGGAACTCGTGGTGGTCATACTGCAAGGAGAAAGAGTATCAGCCAGAGGCCTGAGGAGTAAACCAAGGTTCCCAGCCAAAGGCAGCAGTGGCCTCACCTTGTCCACATCCAGCCTGTGGTAGAGCAGGTCGTGTGTGGCCTGCAGGTTGAAGCTCTCCTCCACCTTGGTGTAAGGACAGGTGACAAGGTGGATGGTGGCAACTGTGACAAGCAGCCCCAGCAGCAGCAGTGGCCGCCTGCCGGGTGACCTCTTCCCCGCCATGTGGGGCTTTAACCTTCATAAAACCAAAGATGAGAGACAGCCGCCATTAGCACTGCACACTCTGACACAATGAAAACCTGGATCCCAAGTTTCAAAAACCTCTCTGAGGTTAACTTTAGGACACCTGGGTGAAGAGGAACCAGAAATCCTTTGACCTGCTCTTGTAATTCCTGTAGGTCTAAAATTGTGTCAAAAAAGAAAGGTAGAAGAAAAATCACACTTGAAATCACACTGTGGTTCCTGCCTATAATCCTAGCTACTCAGAGGGCTGATTGGAAGGATCACAGTTCAAGACCAGGCAGGCAAAAAGTTTGTAAGACCTCATTTCAACCAATAGCTGGGTGAGATAGTGTGTGCCTGTCACAAGCTATGTGGGAGTCTGAGATTGAGAAGATCGTGGCTCAAGGCCAGCCTGGGCAAAAAGCAAAACCTTATCTCCAAAATGACCAGAGCAAAAAGGGCTGACAGAGTGGCTCAAGCAGTAGAGCACCTGCCTCGCAAACGTGAAAACCTCACTTAAACCCCAGTAGAGCCAAAAAAGAAAAAGAAAAATCACACTTGAGAAGCAGTCCTGTCCCAACCAGCAAGCTTACATGTGACCCTGAGACCGTCTGATGGAAGCCTTTTGTGTCACAGGCCAATGGTCGGCAGTGAGACAGCCTCTGCACTCAAGGTCAGCTCTTCATGGAGAGTCAGGAAAAACCTGGGCTTACCAGCCAAGAGAGACGGACCCAAGGCTGTGAGGTGGAGGTTGGGTGGGAGATGCACCTAGAGGACAAGAATGACATAGAGGAACGGTTACAGGAGAGTAGCACAACTGCCAGGGACACAGGACTCTGGGCAGCCACAAAGCCCAGTCCTCCAGGGACAGGGGATGGAATTATGGAAACCCATCCTGAAGCACTCTGAACCACACCCCAGGGGCCTGGAGGAGATAAAATGTGGTGCCCAAAATGGCACCACACTGGCAACAAATCTATACCTGCCTGCAAGTAGTCGTCCAGACACTACAGGAGGACATGAGGGGACTTAAGGCACGAGATCCTTGCGAATCCACCAGAGCACCAGTTTCCACATACAGAAGACCTAGGGAGGAGAGGGCAAATGCTTCTTTGTGTTTCTGGATTCTTTTTAATTTTTTTTTTTTTTTTTTGGTGGGTCTGGGGTTTGAACTCAGGGCATCACACTTTGCAAAGCAAGTGCTCTACCCCTGAGCTTTAGCCACACCTCCAGTCGTGTTTTCTGGATTCTTTAAAAACAGGTTTGACTTTATTCAGTCAAAACCAGAAGGGTCAAAGTAGAGGGAGAGAGCCATAGTGCTTACTATTTGTTAGCATCACTTTCTGATCCAAGAGTTAAGTATGGACTCTCCAAAGACAGCATGGAGGGGTTATGAAGGAAGGGAACATCTGTGACCAGAAGGAACAGGACTCCTGCGCAGTGGGGGTGGGGAGAAAGAGGCTTTCATAACTTTATAATGACCAATAGACCACAATCCCTTTTTCCTTTCTCAAATATAAAAACTTGGTCTAGGGCCAGTCAGAACCACTGACCACTAGATGGGAGAAAGTGCTATAGTCAAACTCTTCATCACTCTGATAAATACCCCAGAGAGCAACTCAAAAGAGGAAAGATAAGCTTTCGCCTCATGGTTTCAGGGAGTCCACTCTATGGTGGCTGGATCCACTGCTTTGGGCCTGAGGCGAGGCAGAACATCATGGCGGCAGGAGTGTGCGACAAAAGCTGCCACCTCATGGTGGCCAGGGGCAGAGAGAGAGGATGCCTGGCAGGTATAGCCTTCAAAGTCAAACCCCCAGTGATCTCCTGATTCTTCCTGCTAGGCCCTCCTAAAGCCTCTACCACCTCCAAAAATAGCACCCCTAGCTGGGGACCAAGTCTCCAACACATGAGCCTGTGGGGACCCTTCCTATCCAAACCCTCTCGGCAGCTTTTAGGTTGCCCTTGAGGGCGGGGTTTCTGTTGCAGTTTTCCCACCAGTGTTGCCTCAGCACCAAGAACAGATCTACTGTGCTGGATCAGTGATGCGCTCAGGGCCCCTGAATTCACAACCTGGGGCAGGGCCTGCTGGGCTGACTTCTGCACCAGCTGAACTCGATGCACAGTAGGTGCTCAATACACCTGCTGAAGAAGAAATTCAGAAAAACTCTAAAACAGAGATCCCGCCACCCTAGTCTGTATTTTCATTAGGATTATGCCAATCGTATGAAGAAGTTCCAGGGAAGCAGAGGAGACTCACAGTGCTTACACACTGCTCTCCAGTCCTCCCCAAACAATGAGTTAGACAGAATGCACTGACACCACACCACAGAGGCAGCTGGGCAGGATGCAAAGCTCAGCAGAGACTGACATGGCTATCCTGGCTGACCCCACGCTGCCCCCCCTGCAAGAAAAATCCAAGCCATGGGGTGAATGTTCCTTGCAGAACTCACCCCAAGCTTCCTGCCAGGCCCATCCCACACTGGGTTGTGCTTTTTTTCTGAAGACCAAGGGCAGCTTGGTCCTCAAAGTACCAGAAGAAGAAGGGTAAGTCAGAATGGACATCCAGGAACAGGGGGCAATAAATGTGACATAGCAGTACAAAACAAAACCACCACAGGGAAGAGGGACAGCCAACTGTGCAGCTACTCTACAACCACACGGTTCATCTGAAGCAGCAGGTCCCAGGAACATGGCAGGCTCAACAGGCCCAGGTCAGGCTGTTTTAACAAACTGGCTCACAGAATGACAGCATCTCTGACAAGGAAACAGCCCGCAAGGGTCCCCCAGTCCCCGTCAACTAGGAGTCCAAGACTTCCACCGAAATCGGTCAAGTCACAGGTTCAAACTGTATCTCTCAGTTGGAAACACAAAGGGTCTGGTGCAAATTATTCCTGCTGCCCACCAAAGACCAGATCAAACTTGGCGTCATTTGTACTTTTTCTACTGACACTTCCCCACCTCCAAAACGGGCCTTCTCTAAAACCAAGACAGTGCACATTTTAACTTGCCTCACTTAAACCTCTTAAACGGGGAGAAGGTCAGCGGGTGCCCATGGCCTGGGCAGGTGGCCGTGTGCAATGCAGATCCCTTGTCCCCAAGCACACAGGAGCGGGTCCCGGGCGCAGACGTCAGTCCCCATGTGAGAGGTCCAGCCATAGGGAGAGATCAGCACCCAGGTGAGGAGCCCGGAAGTCGTCAGGACCCAGGGACTCTGCAGCCAGCGCGAGCTCGGTACCCCTGTCGCCCCGACGGCCCCAGCCTCGCCACCCCCTGAGCGCCCGGGCCCCGGCGGTACGTGCTGACCTCTCCTACCCCTGCCGTCGTCCTTTGGAGCCCTGAAGCCTGGGCTGCACTCGGCCGGAAGAGACGCGGCGGAAACTGGGCACAGAAGCGAAGTTCTTGCCCAAACCTAACATGGCTACTACAGCCCCGGCCACTGCGGCTCTGGAGCGCCCTTCTCGCCCGGAGTAAAGATGTCCGCCCCGGGCCGCCGACGAGGGGCGGGGCCGAGGGCCGGCTTTTGCCTTTCGGCCCCGCCCTCCTCTCGCGGGACGCTGACCCGGGGCCTTCTCATTGGTCGCTGCTCGTGGCGAACTCGGATTGGGCCACATCACACTGGGGCGGATCCCTCCAGCCAATGGAGGCGTGCGGGCTGCCGGCTGGGCGGGGCCCCGGCTGCGCCGTCTAGTAGCCCCGGGAACGGCCGGCGCGCTGGCCGGGTGGGCGGAGGCCGAGCGCTCCGCCGCAGTTCGCCGCGCGTCGCCTGCCGGCCCGCCATGCGCCCGCCGCCTCGCGCCGCTCTCGGGCTGCTGCTGCTGCTGCTGCTGCTGCCGCCTGACGCCGCCCGGAAGCCGATTCCCTGCCAGCGGTGCCGGGAGCTGGTGGACAAGTTCAACAAGGTGGGCCGGCCCGGCGGGGCTGGGGACTGGGGTCAGCAGGCAAGGCCGGGGAAGCGGGGCAGGGGTTGGCAGGGTCGCCCCCAGAGCCCCGGGGCGCGGCGGGCAGCCAAGCGATGCCACCTCCTCCGCAGGGGATGGCCAACACGGCCAAGAAGAACTTCGGCGGTGGCAACACGGCCTGGGAGGAGAAGACGCTGTCCAAGTACGAGTTCAGGTGGGCGCCCTGTCCTCCGAGGCCCCGGGTCCCCTGGAGCCTGCGCCGGCCCCTTGACCCTGGCCACCTCTGCCTCTGGCAGCATGCATACAGTGAGCTGGACACTCACTGGCCCGTGCCTTCTCCACTGGCCCCATACCTTTTGAAAAGGGAAACTGGAACCCCAGGCCACCTGGGGACGCTCCTGGCTTCCCCGGACAGCAGCCTCCCTGCTGGAGCCATCAGCCATCCTCCCTGACCACCCCCAGCTTGGCAGCCCCACACTTACTTACCGTGCCCGGTGGTTGTGACAGTTCAGGGTCGGCCTTCCCATCTGGCCACAGGTGGGGCCTCCGAGCGCCCTGGGGTGCTGATGACAGGTTGTGTTTCAGCGAGGTTCGACTCCTGGAGATCCTGGAGGGCCTGTGCGAGAGCAGCGACTTTGAGTGCAACCAGATGGTGGAGCAGCATGAGGAGCGGCTGGAGGCCTGGTGGCTGAAGCTGTGAGTGTCTGGGACCCCAAGTCCTGTCTTCTCATGCGTGGCTTTGCAGTCATCTCTCCCGTAGAGAAGTTACAGAAACAGTGGCGCTCCTGCATCCCTGCCAGCCCCCCTTTTCCCCCGTGCCTGCATCCCTGCCAGCCCCCCTTTTCCCCCCGTGCCTGCATCCCTGCCAGCCCCCCTTTTCCCCCCGTGCCTGCATCCCTGCCAGCCCCCCTTTTTCCCCCCGTGCCTGCATCCCTGCCAGCCCCCTTTTCCCCCCGTGCCTGCATCCCTGCCAGCCCCCCTTTCCCCCCCCATGCCTGCATCCCTGCCAGCCCCCTTTTTCCCCCGTGCCTGCATCCCTGCCAGCCCCCCTTTTCCCCCCATGCTACCAGAGCACAAGCTGTCAGGGCCAGGAAACTAGACGCAAGTCCTGTGCACACCTGATAGTTCCCCAGACCAGCCTCAGAAGCATGTCCACTGCCCCTACCCAGTGTCCCCAATATCACCTCCTCAGGTTTAGTCCCCATGGTCCACCTCCTTCTGAAGATATTATGTGGAAAAAATCCCCCAGAGAAGCAATTCATAAATGGGATTAGAGCATATATTTATTTTTTTTTTTTATTATTTTTTTTTTTTACAGTACTGGGGTTTGAACTCAGCCTATACCTTGAGCTATTCCAGCAGCCCTATTTTGTAATGGGTCTCATGAACTATTTGCCCTGGCCGGCTTTGAACCTTGATCCTCCTGATCTCTGCCTCCTGAGTAGCTGAGATTACAGGTGTGAGCTGCCAGTGCCCAGCTAGAGCAATATGATTTTATCTGGCAACTTCTTTTTTTTTTTTTTTTTTTTGTGGTCCTGGGGCTTGAACTCAGGGCTTCATGCTTGCTAGGCAGGTGCTGTACCACTTGAACCATTCCACCAGCTCTTTCTTGTGTTGGGTATTTTCTAGATAGGATCTCATAAACTATTTGCCTTCCTGATCTCTGCCTCATAAGTAGCTAGCTAGGATTACAGGCGTGAGCTACTGGTACCAGGCTCTGGTTTATTTTGTTATTGTTGTTAATGTCTTACTGTGCTTATTTTACAAATTGTATACATTTTTTGGCCGTATTGGGGTTTGAAGTCGGGGCTTCACGCTTACTACACAGGTGCTCTACCACTGGGGCCACTCCACCAGCCCTATTTTATAGATTAAACAAGGTTTATATAGACAGACACATAGTAAGCATAGGGCTTGGCACTGTCTAAGGTTTCAGGTACCCTCAAGGGGTCTTGGAAAATGCATTGTCCCCATTGATGCGGGAGGATGAGTGTATTATACTGCACTGGATTTTGGTTTGTATTTCTGCCCTTGCATACACTTTACCACCGAGCCACAGCCCCAGCCCAGCATTTCTTTTTTTACAGAACTCATACAGATATATATTTTCATTAAATATGTCCATTTACTGCAGTTAATACTGTACATTGCATATCTTACGATAAAGTTCAGATTTTAGCTTTTAAGAGGTTTAAAGGACAAGGGTTTAGGCATTTTCAGAGGCATTTTGAACATCTATACAACATGAATTTTAATACTTTCCAAAAGTTTAGGCTTACTAAACACATTTCTGCAACAAGACTAAACCAGGTATCTCAGGAATCTCAGTTCTACCTCTGAGAGAATTTTGTACTTTAGGAGTTTTCGCAAAATATTTTCTTCTCATAGTCTCTGCCATACATGTTCTGATCTTGATTTGTTTTATTTTGGTGTTACTAGGGTTTGAACTCAGGGTCCCAATGCTTGGTAACAGGCACTTGACCTCTTGAGCCACTCCACCAGCCCTGTTTTGTGTTGTATATTTTTGAGATAGGGCCTCTTGAACTATCTGCCAGGGCTGGCTTCGAACCATGATCCTCTGATCTCTTGTCTCCTAAGTAGCTAGGACACTGGCTACTCAGACACCAACTCCCAGCTTGTCCTGATGTTTGGAGTGCTTGAGCTCTGAGGCCAGATCACGGGCCAGTTTCCTTATCAGACAACCAACCCAGCGTCTCTTTTTGTTTGTTTGGGGGTTTTTTTGTTTGAGTTTTTGTTTGTTGTTTGTTTTTGGTGGGACTGGGATTTGAACTTAGGGCTTTGCACTTACAAAGCAGGCGCTCTACTGCTTGAGCCGTGCCTCCAGTCTGTTTTTACTGTGATTACTTTGGAGATGGGGTCTTGCAAGCTCTTTGCCAGGGCTGACAACAAACTGCAATCCTCTCCTGATTTCAGCCTTCAAGAAGCTAGGATTACCTGCGTGAGCCCCCAGTGCCTAGCAGTGTTTCTGTTTTTAAAAAATCTGTTACATGAAATTTAATGAGTGTTTCTAAACCTTCAGGAAGAAAGAGCACCCTGACCTATTTGAGTGGTTCTGTGTGCAGACGCTGAAAATGTGCTGCTCTCCGGGTACCTATGGGCCAGACTGCACTGGTATGTTTTTTTCTTGGGAAAATCTACCCAAGTCCACATCGTTTCCTCATTCCTCTCTGATTCCCTCATGTTTAAAAGCACAAAGGGGGACTGAGAGGGTAGCTCAGATGGTAGCATGCCTGCCTAGCAAGCATGAGACCCTGAGTTCAAACCCCAATTCTGCCAAAAAAAAAAAAAAAAAAAAAAAAAACCCACTCTAATAACAAAGAGAGGACCTGGGCTATATTAGCTCCTGGGAGTCTGGGACCTTGCCTCTTCCCTAAGACAGGGACAGCTGCCCATCTCTTCTGAGGCAATGGAGCACCTGACCTGTGGGGCTGTGGTGCCTCCTGTGACCCCAGGCTTTGGGGAGATTCTCATTTGGTTTGTAGAACTCTTGAGCATCCAGTCCCACCTACTTTTAATACAGCATTGTAGACTCATTTTGGAGTGGCACAGACCCATCTACAGGGGATCAAGGGCGGTAGGTATATTAGTCTGGGTCTTCTGTGGAGTGTGCCTTGACATTGGAGCCACGGTTTCCTGTTTTGGCATTACAGAAGCCAGCCACATTGGTCAGGGTGGATCAGGTGGCAGAAGTTTCACGCTGTAGCTACAGCTTGCATGTCTCTTCCCCCTTTCCCCAGCCTATATTCTCTCATGTGTAAGCATCCTTGTCCCTGTTTTGGGTAAGGCTGGCACAGCCACATGAAGTAGTTAGCCGTGCGCCAGGGCTCACTTCTCAGGCCTTGGGGAGTTAGTGTCTCAAGATGCCCTCAGATGCCTCACCTGCTCCCATGTGCCTGTGCTTGCTCAGGAGAAGTGGAGCAGGTCTGGATTTTGTGAGCATGTTTGAGGGGTGCTATGATACTCTCCTGAGCACACTGGCCACTCCTACAGCATCCTCTGACCATGGGTTTGTATCCCCCAAGCATGCCCAGGAGGGTCCGAGAGGCCCTGCAGCGGGAATGGCCATTGTAATGGAGATGGCAGCAGACAAGGAGATGGGTCTTGCCAGTGCCACGCTGGATACAAGGGGCCACTGTGCCTGGACTGCATGGATGGCTACTTCAGCTTCCTGAGGAACGAGATCCAAAGCGTATGCAGAGGTAAGCAATGGCACCAGTGTCCAGGCGCCCCTCCTCCTTGACAGTGAGGCTGCAGGGAGCAGCTTTCTACCAGAGTGGCATAACTGGGCATGGGTACCTGTTGACCCTTAGCCCTAGGTGTCCAGAGGAGCTTAGGAGACTAGAGATGGGACCCTGCCTGTCACTTCCTGAAGCCCTTCTGGGAAGGACTTGAAGTTTGATGTTTGTGTTGCAGGTCTGTCCATATGCTAGGTGCCCTTGATTTTTGGACCTAGCAGTGGGCCACATTCCTTTGACTACCTGGAATGTTCTGGCAAAAGGCTTGCTCCCCACCTGCAGCTGCAGGGAAATGTATATGTTCACCTCTTGCTCAGAACCAAGGCTGCTCTGTGGCTCTGAGAGGTGGACAAATGTGTCCAAGGCAAGAGAGGCCAGGTTTCTCTGACCCCAACTCCGTCCCTCCATCTCACAGACACTCATGCAGCATGAGGCATGTGTGGTGGGAATGTGCCCAGCACCACATGAGCTGCAGAGGCTGTGTAGTCAGCCTTTCCTCTTTGTACGAACTCCCTACAGCACTGGTGGACTGAGAAATTATCTCTTAAGAATTTTTCCTCAAGTCTGACTATTGGGAATCACGGGAAGTTATTTTTCTGTTGAACTTACCTTACTTTCCTGAGAGTTTTTATTGCTTGTTCCTTTCCTACTGAACTTGATTCCTAGTTCCTAAAGTAAGTGGGTAATGGACGGTAAGCCCACACATCCTGGCAGCCTCCCTCTGTGACACTTTACCTTCCAGCCTGTGATGAGTCCTGCAAGCTGTGCTCAGGCCCGACCAACAGAGACTGCCATGAGTGTGAAGTGGGTTGGACGCGCGTGGAGGACTCCTGTGTAGGTGAGGCGGAGCGCTGGGGAGGTGGCTTCTCAGAGGGTGGTAGGGCTTCCTGCAGTGGGCTTCTGTCTGCTGCTCTCTGTCTCTGCCTGCAGAGAATGACTCTGGTGTTCTCATGGCCCACATGTGTGGAGACGGCCCACATGTGGTCCCACTGTGTTTGGGTTCCTGTCAGGACTCAGCTCTGGGCTAGACAGGTCTCCCCATTGTAGCTGACCTTTGTGTTGGTGACCGTGCCCTGGGAATGTCAACTTCTACCTCAGCCCTGAGGGAGGCCTCAGCATGGGTCCAGCTCCGCCCGTGCCTCGTTAGCAGGACGAGTCTCCTTCCTGCTGGTGTGCAGCCACAGGGAAACTGGGGCAGGGGCCTCAGTTGGAGAACTGTGAGCCAGCAGGTGGCTGCACCTCCTCATGAGCTTTTGCACTGAGGCTGTGACCACTTGACTCTCAGCAGCTTGGGGCTGGTTCTATGTCTTGCAGGGGAGTTGGCCTGTACTTCCACTGCCCTCTCCCAGGAAGGAGGCATCGCTCTGATGCACGTCTGCTCTAGTGTCCATATTGCAGGGCCAGGATACACAGCCTTTTCTGCCATGGCACTGTTGCCTACTATGCCTCTGCCACCTGCCCTGTCCTGCACCCATCTGCCTGAGTGTAATGCCAGAAACCCTGTCCTGTGGCCTGGGGAGAGGCTGGTGCTGTCTGGCCTTCCTGCAGCCCAGGTGCCCAGTGGCCACCCTCCTCCTTCTGCTGATACGGGTTTAGGTTTCACTCCTTAGCAACTGCTGGGCCTTAGGCAAATTAGGGACTCAGCTCCAAGCCGGTTTCATGCCTTCAGTAAGGCAGATAAGAGACCTAGAGATGGCATGGGTCTGTGTGGAAGTCATTTGTCATCCTCTTCACAGCAGCCCCTCCACCCAGCACTAATTGTCCCACAGGACAGGCTGTTGCCTGTCCCCACCTCTACCCGTGAGGGTCCTCTAAGGATAGTGGCTAAGCTGTGTCCTCCACGTGGAGCCCTCTTTCTTCCCTGTGGGTGTGTCGTCCTGATGAGGGTGGTTCCTTGACTCAGCTGGCCTGGGCTCCCTCACAGCTGTGCTATTCTGTTCCAGATGTGGATGAGTGTGCAGCAGAGATGCCTCCCTGCAGCGACATGCAGTACTGTGAGAACATCAATGGCTCATACACGTGTGAAGGTGACCTGGCTATTGACGCACATTGTCTTTTCTGGGTTGCAGGTCCATACTGCAGGGGCCCTGATGGGGTTCCATCTCTTCTTTTTTTTTTTTTTTCTTTTTTTGGTGGGACTAGGGTGGGCTTTGCACTTGAAAAGCAAGTGCTCTACCACTTGAGCCACACCTCCAGTCCATTTTGCTCTGATTATTTTGGAGATGGGGTCTTATGAATTAAGACCACCCAGGCTGGCCTCCCAACTGCGATTGTCCCAGTCACAGCCTCCCAAGTAGCTGGATTATAGGCGAGAGTTACCTGCACCTGGCCTTCTCAGCATGACTTTATTCTGCTGCTTTAGAAACATTCACTGTGCCAGCATTAGTAGTAGTCACTTGCCGCAGGAAAACCGTGAACGCCTTTGCACTTCACACTTTTCTGCATCATGTCAGTGATTTTGCACTTGCTCGGCAGGTGCTCTCCCACTTGACAATGTCCCCCAGCCTTTCTTGCTTTAACTATTTTACGAGTAGGGTCTTCCTTCATGCCCAGGCCAACCTGGGCCACGATCCTCCTATTTTTCCCGTGCATCTGGGGTAACAGGCATGAGCTACCACACTCAGCTTATTGGTTGAGAAGGAGTCTCACTAACTTTGTACCTGGGCTGCCCTCAAACTGTGATCCTTCTGCTCTCGGCCTCCCAAGTAGCTGGGACTCCAGGTGTGAGCCACTGTGCCTGGCCATACTTTTCTTGAACAATCTCTTGTTGGACATGTAAATCACATCAGTCTTTTTGCCCTTACAAACTTTGAGTGTCGTCTAGGAAAAGCTTTTCATGTTCTTTGTTTCCTTTGGGTCGGTTGGCACAGTGCAGTCACAGGCATGTACATTTTCGGGCCACGTTGTATAGTTCACAGTCAGTGGTGGGCATGGGGCTGTGTCCTGCATCAGCCGTACTGGGAGTCACAGCTCAGTGCCACTGAGCCATCCTTGCAGAGAGACTTCAGGCCGCAGCCTCAAGAGCCTCCTGTCTCCTCTGCCTGGCTATTCTTGCCACGCTCCTGGTGTAGGGAGAACCTGCTGCCATGCCTGGTGGGGGCTTGTTTTCAGGCAGCCTGCAAATTGCCTGCCATTTCCATGGCAGCAGGACAGGTGCAGGGTCATTGTATGTTGTGCTGCTCTGCCCTGTTCGCGCTACTCAGCTCGTAGGCTTTATTTGTGGCATAAGATAAAGTCTGACCACTAGAAGGCATTCTGGTGGTCAATGAGGACAAAGCCCAAGTGTCCAGCCAACACCCCAATTGCCTCCAGTAGTGTGGTACCCAACTCCAGCTCTCTGCTGTGTGCTGTGGTCTGATGTTATCTTTCCCCTCCTTGCCTCTAGAATGTGATTCCACCTGTGTGGGCTGCATAGGAAAAGGCCCAGCCAAATGTAAAGAATGTGTCACTGGCTACACAAAGGAGAGTGGACAGTGTACAGGTCAGTGAGTTATGTCTGCTGGAGAAGGTAGGATCTTCTAGAGAGCCCACACCAGGATTGAGGAGCTACTGGGGTGGAGATGGCTCAAGCTCTTCTTGCAGATGCAGCTCTTCCAGCTTTCCAGGTCCACCCCTGTACAGATGATGGTGTTGCTATGCTGGCTGCAACTGTGCATGCCAGAGCCCCCACATCCCCATCAACTCCTGGGGGACTCAGCCCCTGTGGCTTGAGGTCACCTCTACCTGCCATCCCGGGTGCTACCTGAGTACACTGGGGTTCCTGTCCTCACTCTGCCTGTTGAGGGCCTGGCTGGAGGCACAGGGAGCTCTCCCTTTGAAGTCTCTCTGACCTCCGCTTCTTTCCCTGACAGTGTTGGCGATCTCCACGAATTAATTATGAATGAGTTTCCTAGTCTGCAATGTGTGCGTTTGCTAAATGAGGAAATTTACCAAAATGGAGTATTTATTTCAGATGTAGACGAATGCTCACTATCAGAAAAAGCATGTAGGAGGAAAAACGAAAACTGCTACAATACTCCAGGGAGTTTTGTGTGTGTGTGTCCTGATGGCTTTGAAGAAACAGAGGACGCTTGTGTGCCAGCAGCTGAGAGCGGTGAGTGGTGTGGCACCACGTGGCAGTACCTGCCCTCCACAGCTGTTTGGCTTGGGAACCACCATGTAAGGAATTAGCACAGACAGGGGACTTGGTGGGTGATGGCAAGCTTCCCGAAGTCACGCATGTAAAACTCAGTAGTGCACGCTGGCTGCAGTGGGAGCCCTGGCTCTCCAAGGAAGTAGAAAGAACTTGGCAGGTGGTCTAGTGTGGCAGGTGCAGGGGACACAACCAGTGAACTGGAGATGGGGTCACAGGGTGCTGCAGGAGAGTGAGAATGGCCCTGCAGGGCCCGTGTGTCTCCTGGGGATTTGACAACAGCAGTGCGCCTGCTCTTGTGGGTCTGCAGCCAGCGGACCAGCTGTTCTGCAGCAGTGAGGGAGGGTCCTGTACCTGCCATCTTCTCCTGAGCTCAGTCCTCTGTGGTCCCATGTCCAGGATCGGTCCCTGTCCTGCGTTGTCATTCTTGTAAGGACCCGCAGTCATGCTGCGTCTGTGGCCTGACCTTACCCGTCACCTGCAGAGACCCTGTTTCTAAGCAAGGCATGTTCACAGGTGCCGAAGTAGGACACCTCTCTGAGACACACAGCAGTCTCACGGAAGTTCTAGAATGTGGGAGAGGGAACGAGGCAGTGTTCAGAGCAGTAATGGCAGGAGTTTTCCAGAAGAGTAAGATGAGAGTCAGATTCTACAGGCCCCGTCCCAGCAGGGTGGGTGACAGTGTGTCCACTCCCAGGAGCACCACAGTACCGTGAGGCACCACAGACAAGAGGGACCCATGGCCACATGTCACCACTGCCTCCCACGTTTCCCGCAGTACTTACCTCCACTGCTCAGCCTCTGTGGGGGTGTCCAGGGTGCCATCCCCAGGGCATGGGCCAGCTGGCAGATGTCAGGACATGAGCACCTGCACTATCTGCTGCCCTTCAGCAAAATCATCCTCGGGGCCCTCAGCGCTGGGTGTTTCACGTGGTGATCTGTGTGTGTCTTCTGACAGAAGTCGCAGAGGAAAACCCCACTCCACCGTCCTCCCACGAGGATTTGTGATGTGCACCTGGCGTCAGAAGCTGGACTCGCCCTTTAAGTTATTCACATGATGTCCCATAGGAAATGCAGCCAGTGGATGGTGACCCCATTTCTCAGGTGGGCGTGGAGGGAGAAGCTGCCTGCTGTGGAGAAGTTGATAACTATTTGGCCCTTATAAAAGCTGCATTTCTTGGTTGTTAAACAGATTCGTATATTTTGATACTGTTCTTTATAATAAAATCGACCGATGAAGGTAGTCAGGAACAGGATGTATGGATTTGTCTCACTGAAAAAGTGTGGACCTTTAACACCTTTCAGTTTGCACCTGTCCTACTGTTGCCAGGAGACAGGTGAAACCCTGTCTGCAGAGGATACAGGCAGAGCCGCTGTGTGTGGTGAGGACAGAAGGATCGTGGTCCTACCTGCAGTCTCCTGCCTCAGGCAAGCAAATTGTGATGGAGTGGCTTCAGGGACTGCTAGAGGGACCACTGTATTTTGAGTGTGTTTCCCAAAGACCCTGCGTTAAAGGCGTGGATCCCAGTTGTGGTGCTATGGGTGGTGGGGAGCCTTTAAGAGCTAGGGCCAGGGGTTGGGGATTTAGCTCAGTGGAAGAGCGCTTGCCTGGCAAGTGCAAGGACCTGAGTTCGGTCCCCAGCACCAAAAAAAAAGGAGCTAGGGCCAGTGAAGTCCCCATCATACTTGTGTGTACTTCTAAGGGGGCATTAGGACCCTGCCCCTCTCTTTCACTCTTCCTCATGGGTGAGTATCTTGCTTACCCACGTCCCTGCCATGAGGAGCTGCCTCACCATACGCCCAAACCAATGGGGCCACTGGTCATGGACTGGAGCCTCCAAACCTGGGAGCCACATCAACCTGTTGTCTTTATAAGCTGATCATCTCAGATATTTCATAACAGTGACTGACAGGCATCCAGCTTGTGGGCCTGCTCTGGGCAGTGAGCTCTGGGGCATATGGAAAGGGAGGACCCGCAGAACCACCTTTGGGGGTTGTGCTAGAAAGAAGAGTATACCACAAACCCATGAGGGCTTATGAGGGATAGCACCTCATCGAGGAATGAAGAGAGTCTGGGAAAAGCAGGCTGTGGGATTGAGAGGCTAGGCCTCTGTGGAGCCCTGTCAGGATAGGCAGCCCCAGCCCCTCCATGGGCTCTCTGTACCTGCCCCATCCAGCAGAGTGGGCTGATCATGGCCTCCTGTGCTCTAGTCCTCTAGGACTCTGGCCAACTGGGAGTGAATGCTGAATCCCAGATGATCCTCAGGGCTCACTTGGCCATCCTTCCTCCATTCTGCCATGCACCACAGCCCTGTGGCCTATCAGGGCCCCTTGAGCTGTGTCTGCTCTGTCCCATGTGAAGAGAGTGGTCAATGCTGTGCCTTCCCTGGTGTGCTATCCTAGCACAATGGCCAGCCCCTTACTGACAGCCCTCAGTGGTCGTTCCTTCCTGGACACTAGAATGGAGCCCCTGCAGGCAGCATACTGATGGCCAGAGTGACTGCAGTGCTGTTGGGCCTGGCAGGCAACTGGCCATACCCCTTCGGGCATGCCACTGTCCCACCTGCTTGGCTCTGTCCCCTAGAGGAACATGGAGGGGCCGCTCGTATCCAGGTGGGGTGGCAGTCCACATGGGAACCCAGAGGTGGTCATCAAGCTGACATGCTACTCTCGTCCATCTACTGATGGCACGCCTAGAGCTGATCTTGATGTGGAATCTGAGGGGCCTCGACCACAGGGGCAGTGGCCAGGGAGGCCCATGGGGAGGTTAGGATAGGGAGCAGAGCATGGTGGAGATGAAGTGGGGGGGCAGGGAGGAGGTGGGGGGACCACACAACTACTGGATCCCCAAGTGGAAGAATGAGCCTGCAGATGGGGCAGCATGGGTGGGAGGAGTGAGTGGGGGTAGTGGGGGGAGAAGGGTCAAGTCTGGGGTACCAAGGGAATCATGTGGGTGTGGTACCTGGCAGGGTAGAGTAGTTGAAGCTCCTGGCCCTGGGAGGAGGGGGTACCTTAGGAACGTGGGGCTGGGGAGAGCACAGAGGGCCAGGGAGGGCCACTCAGAAGAACCACAATGGGCTAGAGCAGTGTGCACCTGTGTGCACATTGTATACCTGTGTGCATACCTGTGCATGCAGGGCCCAGCCAGCTCAGCCTCCTGCCAGGTTCCCCAGGAGGGGTGGCCAGGGGCTCCCAGTGTTGGCCCTGCAGTCTAGGCTGTGGGGTTCAGGCTTAGGACTGGTGTGTGGCCTGCAGCACTAAAGCCAGCTCTCAAGTGACCCTGGGCAGACCCCACAGCCCACCAGTCCACAGGTCCTCCAGGTGGTGCTGTATGCCCACACACCTACTTTGGTGCTAGGATCCCTCCAGTGGGGGAGGCACAGACTAGGGAATGGAGCCAGGCACCTGAGTGGCAACTGCTTCCCATGGGTGGAGCCTCAGACCTCCTGAGGGGCCTAGGAGTGGGTGGTCGCTGTTTGAGGCCTCTGGAATGTAGCCTTCTGGGATTGCAGGGACTTCAGCCACTGGGGACTTGCCAACCCCACACATCTGGCCCCCCCACCACTGCTCTTCAGGGGATCTAGGGCCTCCTCTCAGGCCCCTCAGCCTCTTTCTCACCTATAAACAGGTTCCCAGCAGATGGATCTCGGGCTGAAATGGGGTTAGGGGCTGGACGGAGGTGAAGCTTGGAAGGGTGACTGGGCCCCAGCAGGACCCTCCCAGGCAGGGCTAGGGCTGGCGCAAGAGATACAGGCAGCGTCCCTGACCACAGTGACTGAAATGCAGGGACGTGGGCCCTGGTAAGCTTGAATGTTGGTGCGCCCTAACCAAGGCTGAGGGCCCCCACTGGTGTGCTGCCTCCTGTGGGTCCTGGGGGCTGTTCTGCTGTGTACCTTATGCTCCCGAGTACCTAACAGGTCCCCTATATCTGGCGGCGACTCCGCTTGGGCCTTCTTTGTCCCCTGCCCTCCTCTGGAGTGTGCAGATGGCCAAAGGCAACCAGTCTGGAGGGCGCAGCTTGGTGATGCACACCATTGGGATGTTCAGCCAGCAGGGGGCACTGCAGGCCACCTGGCCCTGCTGCTTGGAGGCTCCAGTCCAAGCAGGACGTACTGGGGAGGATGTACTATGCCTGGTGGGGCCAGATGCCCTTCGTGGAGTCCCTGTTCTGGATCCTCAGGCCAGGTCAGTGGGAGCCCACCAAGCTGTGTCCTTCCCTCTCTGGCCAGTGTTCGTCAGGGAGCCTCTAGCCCTGCATCAAAACCTCACTAGAGTCAGGGAGGAAGGAACCCTTGCTTGGGAGCTGACCTGGGTCCCTGGGAACTGATGCCGTACGCTCCCTCGCTTGACCTGGTGACTTCAGTCCACAGTTGTCCTACCTCAGAGCTCCCATGGGCCACCTGCCCCACCCCCTCCTCAGTGTCCTGGCCGAGGAGGGAAGTCTTCTGGTAGACCAGGGTCTGCAGGACTGAAAGGCTGTACCCCTGGTTCCCAGACTGGCAGGGTCCTTTGGACCTTAGCACACACCCAGGTGAGGAGCTAACTCCACTCTGCCAGGCCCAACCTTCCCTGTCCTTCAGCAGGCTTGCCCTGTGAGGTGGAAGCTTCTGAAAGTTCCTGGTCCTGGTTCTTCCCTGGGCTGACTTTGCTGTCAAGTACAGCCCTGGGTGGCATTCTGGGGACGCTGGAGGATAAGGCAGTTTTCAAGCCAGCAGGGAACAATGTCTGGAGACTCTTTGGTTGTCATGACTGGGCGGGAGCCAGCCGGGGATGTTCAGTGCCCTCGTGTGCACAGAACATTCAGCACAGGATGACTGGCCACACGTCAATGGTGAAGGACAGATAGATGCTGACAGAAGCCCCCACTGGGCAGCCTGGACTGCGGCGAGGTCCTCTGGCACAGAAAAAGGCCATGCTGCGCACGCATGTGAGCTACTCTGCGACAGTGAACTGTGTCCTTCCCACGAGGCAGGGAGTGGTCAGCCTCTGTCAGGAGGAGCTGTCCTGAGTGCACCTCTGGATGCTGAGTGAATGCATGGCCTCTGCTAGGCCACCAGGGCCTCGGGTCCACATGCTCATTGTGCCAGCATGGAGACCAGTGACAGGCAGGCTGGTGTCACCTGGCCATTCTGTCTACCTGGCTGACTGTCCAAAGCCTCGTCTGTGTTGGACTTACTCTGGTGAGTGTTAAGATGGGACTTAAATGTCCACATCCCAAGGCCCTCTGCATGCTTCTCCTTGACCCCTTGTCACACATACTTCTTTCCCCCCCGCCCCCTGGTCAGCTAACCAGGGGTTTTGATCACTTGACCTCTAGTCTATTTCTCTTTCCTCTTGAGTGGATGGCCAGGCCCATCTCAGAAGTTACCCTTTCCCACACCTGTCACACCACTGACCTCTGTCAGCTTGTGCCACACACTGCTGATACACCTGAACCACACCAGCTGGTTATAGGAACCCCTGGGAGGCCATGATGTGAAGCCAGGGACAAGCAAAGGTGTGTGGATGGTGGGTGCCATGTGGCATAGTCCACATGGACTCGAATCACTTGTGCATACAGCGTGCTGCATCCATCTCCCCTTTAGATGCACCATGTCCATCTGACAGTGGCCATCCCTGGACTTGCTGATCTTACCCCAGGGTGGGTCTAAAAGAGCCAGGGCCAGTGGCCAGTCCAGGTACAAGGTCACGGGGCAGCCCATTTCTTCTCCAGCCGGGCCTGGAGCCATGCCAGCCCTCTCACCAGATCCATGAGCCTCCACTGTGGATGGATGGCCTCGCTCTCACCCTGGGTTTGTGTGGAGGGCCTTCCCAGGCCTTCAGTCTCTGGGTCAGGTCGTATGTGGCAGCCAGGACTAGACCACTACAGGGTGAAGGTTACCGCAGCCCTGGACAGGGCCTGTATGCACACTGTCAAGTCTACGTGAACGTGGGTGTGCAACCCTCCTGCCAGGAGCCACGCCACAGCCTGAAGCTGAGAGCCCTGTGCTGAAAGGTGCCACTCTCCTCTCCTTTGGCCCACTCACTTTGCCTTTTTTTTTTTGTACTGGGATTTGAACTCAGGACCTTGCACTTGCTAGGCAGGTACTCTACTACTTGAGTCACACCCCCAGCCCTTTTTGTTTTGTTATTTTTCAGATAAGGTCTTGTGTTTATCCCCAGGTCAGCCTGGACTGTGATCCTCTTTCTTAGGCTTCCCTTGTAGCTGGGGTAACAGGCATGCACTATCATGCCCAGCTTTTTTGTTGAGATGGGGTCTT